ATGCGCATTTCTGCACCACACAGAAATGACATGCACCTTGTTGCACGAAATCTCTCTGTAGACATTTGCAGTGCACTGCCCTGAAAACATACAGAGGGGAATTTATAAAAACTGCAGCAGACAGAATCTTGAGCAGATGCCCATGGCAACCAATCAGCTTCTCTTTTTTTATTTTCAAAGTTTAACTAAACAAACTGAAGATAGAAGATAGAAGTTGATTGGTTACTATGGGGCAACTGCTTCAGATTCTGTCTGCTCCAATTTTGATACATTTCCCCCACAGTGTGTCAACTACACAATGCAAGATTTCATTTTATCTTTATTCTCTTTTTTTTTTTAAGACAAGGAAAACTAAACATTAAAAAAAAAAACATATTACCATAAGCAAAAAAAAATCATCTTAAAGTATACAACAGAATTACTGCTGCAGAGTTGGGAAAAAACATTGATTCTCTCCCAAGTAATAAATCTCCAGGGCCAGATGGGTTCTCAACAGAATATTATAAAACGTTTAAACAGATACTAATCCCACATCTCTTGGAGATCTATAAGGTAGCTATGACAACCTCTTCGTTCCCTCCTGAATTGCTCCAAGCTCTCATTGTCGCTATCCCTAAACCGGGCAAAGACACAGACCGACCCCAAAATTTTCGCCCCATTTCCCTTTTAAATACAGATTTAAAAATGTATGCAAAATTACTGGCCAACCGCATTCAGGATGTTCTTCCCTCCTTGATACACCCCGACCAAACGGGATTCATTAAAAACAGACAAGTGCCTGGCGCTACGAGGTGCCTTATTAATATCATACATTATGCAGAAAAACATAGACTCCCCTCCCTCTTATTATCCCTCACGTCTTACAAACAACCAGAGGACTTGATTGGAGATATCACAGAGTTTTGGAGTTGGAGAAATTATTTCCTTTACCAATTTTCAGTTTACATTCACATTTATATACTATTGGATCCAGCCACATAGGATCTTTCTTTGGATTGAAGCACAACCAGGAAACAAATCGAAACAGCTGTTCAGTAAAGGCCTGCTTATGCAGCAAACAGAAGAGCCGAGATAGAGTCATTAGCTCCTGAACCTACTGCACCTTATACAGATATTCGTTATCCTGGACAAGCTAACTATCCTGATGCTATAATCTCCATTTCAGGAAAAAAACAGCATTCCTCAGCAGGACTTAAATCGCCATTGGAGCAACTGACCCGCTAATATCTTCTTTCCATTTTGGAGAAAACCACCACTACAGATAAGCATGTGTTCAGCAAGTCATATATCTGCGGCTGGGAGTAAAAGCCGAGATGAGGCTAGAGATCTCCTGAATTATCTGCATATCAAGCCGAAATTCATTTATATCCATGGTAAAACCACTCCAATCCTCTTACTTTGTTCCATGGGCGAACATACAAAGTACTGTGAGTGAAATCCATCAATTTTTTTCTACACGTGTGATATATATTTTTTAATGTTGACTGTTTCTTTTTGCATTTTTCCATACACGTGTATGACGAGATCTGACATCTCCTTTCCAATCTTTGGGAATCCAATTCTTATATTTTTATAAAGTGGAGTTTTTCAGGGTGTGCCCTCTAACCAATGTTTATCCACAGGTATTTTTTCTTATTTATCAGCCGTATGCAGCCACTTATATGTTTGTTGATGTTTTGTGATATGGATTTTTTGATATATGTGCAATTTTAAATATATATTTAATAAATAATTTTCTACGACTAATATAAAGTGTATGGTCAAAAAATTTTGAAACAGTGGTGGGATCCCCTTTTTTGGGGAAAAATTGTTTCTGTTAACAAATTAATAGGGGACCCTCCATTATAAAACAAATCAAAGCTTTATTGATAATTTATATATATTTCAAACCTTCCCACCCTGCAGTATATATTACAAGTTTACTGCTATTTCCTAACCCCTCGTCTGACTTCCTGTTGCTGAATCTCTGGCCTGCCTTCCCGTTCATGAACCAAGCTGCCTGCCTCGACTCGGACTGGATTTTGAGTTCGACTTTGCATTGCCCCTTTTGTACCTCGTTTTCGGACCACGGCCCGTTCTTGCCAGTGGGTTCCGCGTCATGACCCAGGCGACGATACCTCCTCACAGGTACCAAATTTTGATCCAAGTAAGAGTCTATATAACTACTTGTTCCACGGATCCAATCTCTTCAAGTATTGAGTGGCAGCTGCTAAAGTGTATAATTCCAGATCTGGGAAATTCAGGACTCCATTTTTCACAGGTTGTTGTAATATGTGGAGACCAATTTTAGAATGTATCGTTCCCCAGATTAACCTCCAAAAGGCCTGAGCAGCTTTTGGCTTTCTTTTTTCCCAGGATAATAGGAAGCATTTGTAAGATCTACAATATTTTCAGGAATTGAATCATTTTGATGAAACTAATCCTCCCCATATATATTAAAGTGAGATGGGACCATTTATATAACAATTCCAAGAGAGCTCTCACTACCAGAGGGACATTTGCTTTGTAAAGTTAATGCAGATTGTTAATAATAAAAAACCCCAAATAGGGTATCTATTCTTTACACCAGGGCTCAAAATTTCAAGTCCTGAGCTACTAGCCAGGCCTTAAGAGTTACTCGCCACCAGTCGCCCCACCTGACCCCTACCGTGCCCCGCCCTTAACTCCGCCAGGTCAGTGGTGTGACACAGAGAACAGAGATCAGTAACAATGCAGAGTGCAGAGGCCAGTGGTGTGATGCAGAGTACAGAGGCCAGCAGTGTAATGCAGAAAAAAGCAATGTATCCTCCATGTCCCAGGTGTCCTGCTTCTCCCGTGCTGTCCTTCCAGCCAGTAGCAGCTCTGCAGTCTTCCTCCCAGGATATGGCAGCTGAGGTGGGCGGAGGAAGCTGC